AAGTTTTTGTTCATTTATTTTATCAACTCCCTCCCACCCCTGGATTTAGAAACGTTTCCTCTGTATTTTCTGACTACCTGAATCCTGCCCATGCCTCTTCTCAAGTAGCTGCTCCCCTACTGCCCACATTACTCAGGCCATCAAAGTCACTACTTCCTTCGAATTGCTATAGCATCTGTTGTCTGTACCATTTGTTTGGGATGCTGCCTATGGCACCTTATTTATTTTAGAGACAGAGTCTTGCTGTGTTGCCCAGGTTGGACTCAAACTCCTATGCTCAAGTGGTTCTTTCACCTCAGCCTCCTGAGCAGTTGGTATTATAGGTGTGTGCCAGGCTTTTATGACACTTTCTATTAGTAGTTTCTCACTATATTTGCTGTTACAGGTATCATCAACCAAGAAATGAATTCACAGGGTAGGAATACACCTTATATTTAATACATCTTTGTGTGTATCCTTTCCAAGCATAGTATCTTGCTCACTGGTTGATGGCTTTTTAAACAATATATTAAATTTGCTAATATAAATGCCTCCTTCCCCAGCAATATCTTGAGACACAATCTGAACATAACAGACTCCTTTAAACAAAGTCAATGGATTCAGGCTAAGAGACAGAAGACCTGGGTTTTTGTCTCTTTCTGATCCTGCCACAAACTTGGCACATGACTTTGGACTTGGCATGTGATGTTTTAGTTTCCACCTCTGTAGGGAAATAATAATATGTTACCGTGACAATCCTAAAGAACTGTAAGGATCAGGTGAGATAATGAATGCAAAATTGCTTTGTAAACTGTCAAACATTCTATAAATGTAAGGTATTATCAACTAAGAAACAACCAAGCCTCAAAAAGTGATACATTTCATTATATTTAGGAAATAATTTCTATTGCTGTTGTAGCAATTTAAGCTGTATTTGAGTAAAATTCTAGCTGAAGAAAAAATAATTTCCAAAACCTAGGAGGTAGAACTGTGAAACTGATTTAACATTTATGAGGAAACATTTTTGCCAGCCCATATGTACTCATTCCTTGACAAGGCTACTGAGCTGGTTTCCCTATTTTTATATGTGTTCTGCTATAGTCTATGTTCAACACAGCAGCTAACATGATCCTTTTAAAGCCTAAATCAGACCACATCCCTTCTTAGCCTAAAAGCTCCAAGAGCTTCCCAACTTGGTACAAATGTTAAGTCTTCCCATGGTCTCTAAGGTACTCATGAGTTCCCCCTCCACCCCCCACCCTCTGTGGTCTCATCCTTACCACTCCTCTCCCTGCCCACTCTGCTACAGCTCACTGGCCTCCTTGCCAGGCACGCTCCTGCTTTGTAGTTCCATGTTCCTGGAACACTCTGCTCCCACGTCCTGTATACACATGGCTTGCTCATTCACTTCCTTTAGGTTTCTGCTCTAATGTTATCTTTTAAAGAGAAGCATTCCCCAACCACCCAATATGAAATAGCAATATCCTCCTGCCCAGAGACTCCCTTTCCCTTTCGCCCTTCTGCAATGTTCTTCTAAACATTTAGTACCATCAACACACTATATCTCTACGTATAAATCTGTTAATTCTTGGTCCTCCTCTCTTAAAGGGAAGTTCCATGAATGCACATTTGATCTGTTTTGTTCACTACTATATTTAGACTGGTGGTTAGTACATACAGGAAACAATATTTGTTGAACAAATGGTGAATGAATGATGTCTCTACTAAATAGATGGGCTAATATGCTCACCCACAAAAGCATGAATTTGACCTGAGAAGGAGGTGTATCTTTTCCATTTAATGGAATACACTTAAGAATGAATGCATTTCTTTCTTTCTTTCTTTTTTTTTTATAGACAGGGTCTTGCTCTGTCACCCAGGAGTGCAGTGTTACGATCACAGCTCATTACAGTCTCAGCCTCTTGAGTAGCTAGGACTACAGGTGCATGCCACCACGCCCAGCTAATTTTTAAATTTTTTGTAGAGATGGGGATATCACTGTGATGCCTAGGCTGTTTTCAAATTCCTGGCCTCAAACAATCCTCCTGCCTCGGCCTTCCAAATTGTTGGGATTACTGGTGTGAACCACACCATGCCCAATCCTCCCACCTCAGCCTCCCAAGTAGCTGGGACTATAGGCACACACCATCATACTCACCTAATTCTTAATTTTTTTTTTTGTAGAGACAGGGTCTCACTATGTTGCCCAGGCTGGTCTTGAACTCCTGCTCTCAAGCAATCCTCCCACTTTGACCTCCCAAAGTGCTGAGATTATAGGTATGAGGCACCACACCTGGTCCACAGTCATCTAAAAATACTCCTTCAACAAATATTTACTGA